TTCAAGGTCTCTCAACATACCAACTTGACGGGAATCCTGACCAAGAAACCATTGTGAGGGGCTAAATCCACAACGTCTCAACTGCTCGTTTCTTGTGGTGGCACACATCTCAATTGTTTCTTCTACACTTCTATTTGTGGTTCTCCACACTTTTTGCGCCATGTTTCTGAGAATCCTGTTTGTCACTTCAACCAAACCAAGTTGCCAATGAGACTCGGCTGCGGCCAAAAGAAGTTTGACATCGTTTCGTGCCAAGTATGCTTGGAAAGGCTTGCTGATATTTGCCATGGCTGGGTCCATGTAGATGGTGTTTGGCAAACCATATGGACGCGACCAAACATTATGAAATGCTTCTGCCATTGAATGGCCAGTCGGACAAATAATCTGCTGGGCAAAACCTGTTCCTAAGCAAACGCATGTGAGGACGTTTCTTTTGATTTCCACCAATTTTCCATGCTCATCCTCTTTCTTCAATTCAACTTGAACATAGTCAACACCTACTATGTCATTAGGCTTATCGGCATGGGGCATTGCAGCTTGCCTTCGAGATGGTGGTACTTTCAACTCCTCGCACACAGGGCAACGGAACTTTCGGATGGCATCTTGAACTTCTTGGGACGATTGGCAACGCTTGGCAAGTCTGAGCATTTGTTCAACGGATGCATGACCGGTGTTTGTATGCAACTTTTGGATTATTGCTTTGATCTTTTCAGGTCTTTGCTCAGGCTGTGCTGCGGCTGCAACTGCGCCCTCTGAGTTAGGAACGGGTTGTCCCGGATCAGCTGGTTCAAGTGCATCGGATTCGTCAAACAAGACATCTTCAAGTCTCGGTGACTTGGCACGGCAGTTGCTCAGAACTTCAGAGACTACTCGGCAGAACTTACTTGGATAAACTTCACACCAAGAGGACAAATTGCGACCCTTGTACGCACCTTCAAGATGGGCATGTTGGTGCAAATGATCACAACGGCACTTCAGCAGTCGTTCTGCAAGTTCTGGCATCGTGGTGACGATCTTTGTGGGCTTAAGCACAGGGACGTTTGTCTTCGGACATCGCATGCCAAGGCTGCACATGTCAATGCGGACTTCATGGAAATCAAGCAATTGCAACTGTGACCATGCTTCAGAAGTCAATGGATTCTCCGCATGACAGTGACCACCAAACAAACGCTGTAACTGCCACGCTTCAGAAACGGCACTCAGGTGCCTTTTGGCAATTTTGCGCTGCTGCAACACTGTGGTTTCACTGGGACCACCCTTTGCAAGATTGAATCTACTCCAGGGACCCCAACATCCACAAGGAAATGAAAACCATACGTGTTCCGGCCTACACCATGCAATCAAGTAAAGCAACATGCGGCGATCTCTCAACTTGTTGAAATCCTGGCCATGTTTCAGGCCCAAGATAATGCATGATTTACCGGTTTGTTTATGCAGCTTTTTGGCAAGTGGAGCTCTATCGGTAAACACCTCGATCATTTGAACTGGTGTCCAGTGCATGGGCTTGCGGGCCAAGCCATTCTTCTAGTTCTTCTCGGACCTTTTGAGGTTCTGCTTGCATGCGGGACAAAACCAGTTGGCTATTGACCTTTCTAACCTATCTAACCCCTTTACTTATCACATTTCTAAATCCATCCTTTATTTCAGTTGGTCTCATGTTTACCCAATCAACATCATCATACAATGATTCTATTGGGGGACATGGTGGTGGTTGAATCTCCATGGATGGATCCACTTGTTCACAGCAGCACTGGCAGTGACTAGCTGTTTCAGCTGGCACTGGCACTGGCGGTCGTTCAATGGGAATGTGCACGAACAGAGCGATGTTCGTCTGGGCAACTTTGGATCTCTCATTACCTGGCGGGCGAGTGACCCATGGTTGGACTTCGAAATCTCCCTCAGTGGATAGGGTTACCCTACAGCTTAAATAAGACTGGGTTGAAGCATCAGGGGGAATGCGTTCAAGTCTAGGTCTATAGGCTATGAAGGCATGGGTGCATTCGGCTGCTCTGGCACCTACTATTCCTATCAACTGCTTTCGGAATCTTTCAACATTCACAATCCCTTGACGAGTATTTTTGGCTATGTGCTGCAAAAGCTGTTTTCTACTTCTTACATTGTCACCTCTTTTTGGTGCACATGTTTTGGCTACTTCTGTGGAAACCTCAGTCGGTTCGTGCCTCTGCTCAGCGGCTGCAGGGGCTGCGTCATTGGGCTCATTGGTGTCAGCACGGCCGGCTTCTCTGCTGTCGTCATCGGATGATGACATCGGCTCGGATAGGTCACTGGGCATATCTCCAGTATCAGCTAAACTCACATCAGCAGATCGCTTTGAAACATCAGGCTGAAACTCGGACGGGATCTCACAAAACGGCAGGAGGAAATGACCATTGGAAGCCCGTTTCAGCGGGAAATTCACAATGTTGTGCTTTTTGCTGGTGATGGTGCCATTCCCCATATCTAAGGTTGCCTCCATCCCCTCAAGCACACGACGTGAAAGCAAAAACGGTGTGGGACCTTCAACAACATATGTAGTTATGGTTCCCCAAAGACTTCCAATTTTCACAGGCCATTTCAATCCCTTGGTGGTCACCCTTTTATCCCCACTAAATCCCTTCAACTCTACTGCAGGCAATTCACATGGCTTTGGAATCGGCAGGTTCAGGCTTTGAAACAATTTAGAAAAACGTTCAGCCGTTTGTTGACCTACCACACTGGTCGTGCAACCAGTATCGATCACTGCACAGCCATCAGGAATTGACGCAAGCAGCACGTCTAAGGACTCAGTTCCAGCGAAGACCTCGTTCACCATGTAGGCAAAGGCTTCAGCGATTTCTGCTTCAGTGAAATTTGCATCTTCTCTCCGTGGTCTGAACTCATTTGGCTTGCGTTTCGCATTTGAACTTTTCACAGAGCTTTTAGTCTTGTCATACTTGAAGTCACCCTTCCGTGGCATCTGACCCATTGATGTAGAGCTTGAACCAGATTTGCTAGGCATGTCTTGCGGCTGACTCAAGGCTACCACAGGGTAGTAAGGCTGTCTGGACTTTTTGATCTCTTTCACTTTGCGTCTACTCTCTTTGTATGTCTTGAAGGATCTTTTAAAGTCTTTCTTGGCCTTGTCCTTGATCTCATAGACTTCCTGCAGCTCACGGTCAGTTGAATTGTCATCATCATCCTGTTGCATCTCATCAGGCTGATCAACTGCTAATGCATGGTCAGATTCGGAACCACTGGTCATTGGTTCCATGATTTCAGAAGATTCATCATCCACGGCATGGGCTTCTTGCTGAATCATCATAGTATCTCTGCGAGGCGGTCTGGCAGAATGGGACACAGGGGCATGTCGTCGCTCATCAGCACGGCTCCTAGATTCATCAAAATCAGAGGCTCTTAAAATCCTCTCCACTTCATGAAACTTGGATGATCCACCAGTTGAACGGATCACTTGTGCACGTTGTTCACGGGAAAGACCATACTTGCGCATGAACAAATGACCCAAAACTGTTGATGGAAAAATAGGAGACGGCTTTGTATGGCCAACTTCAATTGTGCCCAACAAATGAGCCATTCTCAGTTCTTCACGTTTACGATCAGCAGCAAAAGTTCCACGAGAGCTTTTACCAGAACCGGGACCTTTCTTTCTCCTGCCCTCATCTACAGAGGCATGGCTACGGGCTGACTTCGGTTCTTCTTCATGAGAAGCTTGATCTTTTTCATCTTTTTCACCAGCACTTGCAGAAGGCGGCTTTTCCTCATCTTTCTCATCATCTTCATCTTCACCTTCGGTAGGTGCTAGGCTACTGGCAGGCGGCGTCTCAGCATCAGGCATATTGGATTCAGGACCAGAAGTTCTACGTTTCTTGGACTTCGAAGCAGCACGGTCTTGTGCGACCAAGGCTTGCACACGGGACAACGCAGTCTTGAAGCGGCTTGCAAACTGCGTGGCACCTTCATGAGGTCGTTTGCGAAGGTCGAACAAAAAGCTATCTATTGCTTCATGCAGTTCGGTCTCTGGCAGAAAAGCGTAATGCTTGTCCAGGGCCTTCAGGACCTGCAGCCAGCCGTCTGAACGGCGCAAATCCGACACTGAAAGGTGCTCAGTGGCTCGATAAGCCTCACCCTGCAACCTGGTCAAAAGACGTGGACCTGCGAGGTGAACATGTTTCTCCTCCAGGCCTGCTACTGCAAGAATTGTTTTTCTCCTGAATTCTCTGTAGTTTGCTGGACGGCCATCAAAAACTAAATCTCTGAAGGATCCAGAATCACGCTCCATTGGCACCGAAGGATGCCACACTCAATGGCCAGGATGGCCACACGTCGCCAAATTCAATTGGCGCCCTTGGATGCCCCGTAGGGCTCCGCTACCATGCGGAATGCAAGGTAGCACAAACAGCAACGAAAGATGCTATGGCTTCCTACACACCCTAAACCAAGCGGTTTCACTGCAATTCCTGTTTTGACCAAGCCAGTGAAGGCTCAAGGCCTATTGATCCCAAAGAGCGGCAGCAGGCCACAACATCCAAGAATGTACCTGGCAAATGGAAATGGGCCATGGGAAATTCACATATATATACCATATTATAATAATAGTAATAATAATAATGTATAATTTAATATGTATATATATATATATCATTAATGTCATTAAATGTTATATATATATATTATTATTATTATTTATATTTCTTATCTTGGGTAATCTGTATTCGAATCAGTACAAAGCGATGCCCAAAAACATTCAAACACTCTGAAAACACGCTGAAGAACCCGTCCATTTTAAAGGTCACTGTAGCCATTGCCTAGAAGCATCATCAACCATTCATGTGTGCCACGGTCGTCCATCTCATACTGGGGTGTAAAAATGAATTGATAAACATCCCCCAAGCACTGGATATAGTAGCTGGTATATATATATATATAATATACATATACATATATTATATTATGTATCGCATATCATAGTATCCCTATTATCATATACCGCTTAAATCAATGGATCAGTCGAAAAACCCCATGGTCCACATCCCCAGCAGCAGGGCAAGGGGCCAGGGTCCACATCTTTCAGGATTCTCATCCTCGTCGGGGAGCTCATAGTACCTGGGGGTAAACACCATGGCGCCATGGCGCCATGGCGCCATGGTGAATGTTGAGCCAGGATTTTGATGTTCACCAGAATTTGTTCATGGGAAATAAATAGGAAATTCATGGGGATTTAAAGGGATATTAAATGTATATATATATATATAATGTTTTTCAATTTTACTAAGGATATGTACCCAGTTTTAATAGTCATTGAATGTCACTGGCGAATTTTGAGACAAACTGCCTCAATATTCTCAGTATCTTTGCAAATAATAACACGTTTCAAGTTTCATTGCCATGTCAAAAATGACAAGTTAAGGATTCCCTCTGATGATCCAGTCATTTTATGTAATTGTTGCATTTCAGGTCATTCAACAACAATTTTTGCATCACTCGTGATTTTCCAGCAATGTGATTTTTTGTGCCCTCTTCGGATTTCACCAGTGCCCAAAGCCCAAAGGGCACAGGCTGACCCATTCCTTGTCCTCTTCCACCAAAGTGTGCTCTGGGTCTGGATCCCAGAAAATCTGGCAGCGAAACGATCTTTAAACAAGGTTGAAGACAGTATCTCTTTATTGTGCTATGACTCACTATGACACCCCGTGATGATGTTATTATATAAATATCAGTATCTCATAGAAATCCAGGATAAAATCCAGGATACCAGTATCTTGAAAAACATATACTGAGTTCCAGGGTAGGTAGGTTTCAGCGCCGCTTTCAGTGCCATGCTCAGTGCAGTGGATCGACTCAGCGAATCCAGTTGATCCAGTTGCAGTGCAGTCACTGACCGTCCTCTGAAAATTCAAATCATCGCCCGGCCCTGGGAAATTTGACGAAGAGACTCAGACTTTTTTGAAGATTCTATGAAAATATATTAAAATCATAGAAAAAGTTCGCAAAATAAATCCTCCAGTGATTTTTGTCAGCCAGAAATAGGTCCGATCCCCTGAGAGGTTGATCCTGATGGCATCCGAATTGGCGATCGAAAAAGGGATGACCCGAATGGCTCATTGCAGTCATGCGAATTGGAGATCTGCAAAAATATCTTTCCATATGGTTTTTCCATGGGTGTTTTTTACCCATATTAGTTCCATATGTTACCATTACCATGGTTTTTCCATGGGGTTTTGACCACCTTTCTATACCTTTCCCCCTTCGCACCGTTGGAAGGTGCATAGTGCATGGCTGCCTGAGTGAAGGAGGTGACCTTCTCCAAAGTGGTGTGCTCCAACATGCTCTGCACATCCTGCCACGAAGAGGAAGACAGGGCTGAAGCCAGGGCGCTAGGTGAGGGAAACATCCAGGACATCAAATATGGTGGATTTAAATGGATTTAATGGATTTTAATGGATTTTAATGGATTCTAATGGATCAATGGATTGGTTTAAGGGAGAATCTTCACCATGGGTTTTTACCACGAAATATATGGGGGTTTCCAGTTAAAATTGTCCGGTAAACCAATCCAATGAGTTAAGGGAACATCTGGCTTGGGGCTTCCGGGGTTCCGGAAATCCCTCGTGGGACTAGCATGGCTGGATGTTCATCAAATCCATCCCCATGTGGGGATCTACAACTACAAATAAGTGGGGTCAAGTTGGAGTTGATTGCAACAAGTAGGGGGCGCATGGGTAGTGGCCCATCATTGAAACGGACTGTTGACTGCACCAAAGGTATTTATGTCATTTCCAGTAGTCGATTGTGCTACTTAAAATTGGAGCAACACGGAAAATCGCAGAAACGATGAAAAAACTGGCGATCATCTAGAACCTATTTCCAAGAATCAACAATATCATTGCTAGCGGCTATAGATAAATATTGCTCTTGAATATTTGTCTTCATACCCAAACATTTGTTTTGATTGCACCAAAGTTCTACAGGAAAAAAACATCCAAAATCTTCAAAGAACAAGCCACACGCGGCCAACCGTACTGTACTGCTTTTTTGGTTGGTGGTTGCTATCATAAAACCCTTGACAACTCCATTGAAAGCACATGAAAGCACAGAAAACATTAAGGTGTGGAGTATGTTGAACATCTCAAAGGAAACCTAGTCACCTAGTCACAGTCAAAGTATTGCCAACCCTGTTTCGAATGGCAAACAACCAATATTTATCTATTGGTTTCATCCAAAATTTAGTGGTAATTTATGGTCGTATCTCGAGGTCTCATTTGGGCTTCGTTACATCCCCAGATTTGTTCTTTTCAACCACTTTTGCTGTTGTCGTCAACCACTATATAATATTGATATCCATCGCGTGTCATAAATTCTTGGAGTATGCGGTGAGTTCTCAACATGGGGACCTCGAAACCATGGCTTTCCTATTCATAACTGATGATTTGCGGTCCACCATTTTAAGAGACCCAATATTGGTATCCTTGTTTGCCGTTGTCGACCAATATGATGGTTCATTAATATTTGATTGTATTGTTATTGACTATATACTAGTTGTCATTATATCACTATGTAGTATTGTGTGTGTTACTATTTACTATTATAAACTATAATAGAAACCCCCAACAAAATAGAAATTAGTAAAATCCGATTCAAAACAGTGATAAATTAAAGCGGAATAATAGGTTGTTCAATCGTTTTGAAGGCAACTATTGCCTTGTTAGTGATTCCTGTGTCAATGTTGTTATCATGGTAATTATTGTAGTGATTATCATTACTCTTGTTGACAATAGTCATAAGTCAACATGTAGAGTTTTCATTTTTTTTGTGGGCAACCCCAGAATATGGTTCACTAATCCCAATAATATTCATGGAATTTCCCAATGGTGTTATCTTTTTTATGCACATCCAGTGATCCTTTGTACTTCCTGAAAAGGTACTTAAGCTCTCAGTCATCATACACTAGTCATGCTTCCTCCAAAGGTACGACTGGATCCATAGGGTCTGATTATTATGATGATTATTCTTAGTGGCTGCAACTCCTAGATCTGCTTAAGGACCCACCAAAAATTCAACAACATTCCCTATATATCGATTCCCCCATCGTGGATTTCTTGGGAAAATCAGCCAAATCATATCCCTCACAAAATCCAGCTTGATTGTATAGTTTCCGATATTTTCCTGTAATCAGCTCCATGGCTGGAAAATCCCTCATCTCCATTGAGTTCGGTGACTTCTATCAATGATCATAGGATTTTCCCAGCATTTCCTAGGGAGTTTCCCATTCAGACTTCCATTTTCCCAGGATTTCCCATGATTTTCCATGGTTTCCCCATGGGAAACCTCCAACTCTTCCCATGGGAAACCCATGGCCCAATTGGAAAATTCCGCCTTGGCCCTTTCCTGGATCTGCCCCAGCTCGCCCTTCAGGAAAACGGCCTCGCTTTGGAAAATCCGATCGGTTTTTCTGGGTGAAATCAGGTGAGTTGGGAAACCCCCATGTTTTTCATGCTTACATCACCAGTTGAGTTGGTAAGTGGTTGGTGGTTTTAACCATCTTGAAAATATGAACGTCAATGGGAAGGATGACATCCCATATATGAAATCGAAAATAAAAGTCATGTACCACCAACCAGGTAAAAAAAAACAAAACAATTGAGTTTGTCTGAAAAAATCACGCTTTGGCTGCTGAAAAATCACCAATGGGTAAGATCAATCACCAGGTGACACTGACGGTGGACGTCCCAGGGCATCCCGGGGCCCACGCCAGGGACGGTGTCTTCACTTTCTTGGCGACGTTGATCAGCTCCTGTCCAAGCCGTCGATGGAAATTTCCAGAAAGCTTTCCCAGGTTAAAAAAAGGTGGAGTTGATCTCCATTTGGATAACGGCAGATTCATGATCTATATATATATATATATATCTATCTATATATATATGATATGTATCTATATCTATATATATATATATATTTATATTGTACGCCAACTTTACCACTGGGAGATCCTTTTTCATCTCCATTTCGGATGGAAGCACCGGCCCGTTCTCGTATCAGGATGGGAATGGAACGGAATGGATCGGATTCCCAGGGTTTCTCCATTGAGGTCTGAATGGTAGAGGTATATATAGATTAGTGAGCTTATTTACAGTAAAAGAATATGAAACATGTGCTCCATGGATATATATATATATATAAATATGTGTATATATATATATATTGGTAGAGCTGTTGCCCTATACTTGGGCCAGTTTGGAGTTGGTAACTATGATGCCTGGAGCTGGGTATTGGATCATCCTCATTTTTAGGGGATTGCAACAATTGCTGAGACCAGCACAGGGAAGTAACGAAGGAAAGCACGGAAAGCATTTGCTGATCAAATCCCATAAAATTACACCTAATCTATGCCAGTCTTCACCCAAATATCTCACCAATCAAACAGGGCTTGCTCGAAAATCCCCTCATTTAATCGAATGATTTCCAATTAAAACCTTCATAAAATGTGACCTCCCATATATGTTCATGATTTTCTTATTGTTTACAAGGTGGGTTCCCAGTCAGCCATTGCTACGATTGATTACTGACAGTACCGACCCATATATCATATTATATATATAATTATATTATATATATATATATATATATTAGTATTAGTACTAGAAGTGTCAGCCGAGTTCCAAACTGGCAGCAAAGCTTGGTGCTGTGTCTGGACGGTTTTCTTGTAAGAGATCACCAGGAAACATCATAGCACAAGCACTTTCAAGTGGAAACCCGACTTTCCCCACAGTTCATGGAGGAAAACAACAACAACAACAACAACAACAACAACAACAACAACAAAACTCGGGTCCTTCAATCGTGGAACTCCCAAGGTCACGTTCTTGGCTCCAACTCCGGCGAAATGGAAGGTATTCTGAGCAATGCGAAACGGATGAGCAGGGCCAAGATGGATGGTTTGTGTTTTTTCGTGGGGCTTCACATTCTAATGGCAAGTTCAATGCATCAATCAAGATAATCAAGATGGCATTCACATTAGTGATTGATTCCCGTGATGGTGGCATAAGTCTTGTTTGTTGTTCGTTTTCAATCTTTTAGTCCAAAACATCAATGAACCATAAACTAGTATAAGCTATTGAATGGGATATGAGTCATGGGCTGTTGTACCTCCCGTTGTAGTGGATGTTCTTAGTTCAGGAATGTTCAGAATGGGAGTTTCAACACAATTTAGCTATGTCATGCTATGTCCGGGTGACCTGAAAGCATTGTGGTTTGCACCAAACCGAAGTACAATAACTGGTTGGTGGTATACCTACAATGTGAGGCCCCCCAGTTATAAGTTGCTTTATAAGCCCCAGTAACTATAGTTATAAGCACCATAAACCATAGTTATTGGAGTTATACACCAACTTAGCTATCTTGGGGGCCTCACATTGTACCCCTCTGAAAAATGATGGAGTTCGTCAGTTGGGATGATGAAATTCCCAACTGAATCGAAAGTCATTCAAAATTCCATGGTTCCAAACCACCAACCAGCATATGCTGTCACCAAGACTTAGAGCTTTGACCACCAAGGATCCATACCTGTCAGTTTATCGACGAAGTCAAGTGAGACCATGTTAATGATTTGACCAAATAAAAAGTTGGGATTGAATCAGGTTCTCATTGGATAATCCATGTTCTAAAAAAGGGGTGGCGGAGTTTGCCATTGAAATTCACTTTTTTCCATGGTTCCATCACCCCTTTTTTGAGATGTTGCTCTCCACGTTCTCTCTGTTTTTAGTCCCTATTTGTCTGGCTGGAAGTTTCACGGAACTGACTGGCCAGTCTCAATATTCAACGTGATTTTTTTTAGAATGACCAAAATTACTGTATAACCATTAATTTCTGTTCCCTATTGGAGGGAAGGACATGATTATCATTATTATTTATTTACTATCATATTATCTTATTATTATAAATTATTCATATCAATGGGAATTTCAGGATCCTAAAATGGAGGTACTGTACCATTTTTCAGGCCATATTTTGGGGGTATATCCCCTTACATAGCCCTTACATAGGCCTTATATATGGTAGGTACCTCCAATTTAGGTTCCTGGAATGGCCATTGATCATATGTACTGTTAATAGTCTTCAACAAATCCATAACAGCTGAGCCGCCAGAGTCATCTGCGTTGCTGGCTCACCAACACCTCAGTGAACGGAACCGTTCGGAACTCTGGTAGATGGAATGGAAACATCATGCAACAATGATGCAAAAGTGGTGGAAAATCATGGAAAATGACAGAAAATGATGGGAACATAGTGGAAAATGATGCAAAAGTGATAGAAAAAATGATGGAAAACGATGAAGAGTTGCTATATGCTCAGAGAAATTGAGGGACAGAAGCTATCAAGACTGCCAGATTTGACAAAAACACAAAGTGGATCTGACGAACAAAAAAGGTTGGAACCTGAATTCAGGAATCTAATATACCCTCTGGTAAACTAACATAGCTATTGAAAATGGCCATTTATAGTGGATTTTCCCATTAAAAATGCTGATTTTCCATAGCTATGTTAAATTACCAGAGGGTAATCTAATTGTTACCCCGCGTATGGGGGGAATGGCTAAATCCCTCTTGGAAATCTCTGAGAAAGCCGCGCTTATTATGTGGAGGCACAACGAGATCAAAATCTTTCATGACCAGGTATCAATGGGTTGTTAACCCCCTGTTTTTTCATGGTAAAAGCCTGTTTTTTCCGGGCTTCAAGTTTTCCCGAAAAAAACAATTCATTAATGGATAAATCACCCAGTTAGATCCAGTTAGATCATTTAAGTTCCAACTAGATCTCCATCAGGTCACCACATGAATCCACATGAAATCACCATTCTTGAATTACGTTTCTTGCAGACTGAATCCCATAAAAAAATCACCATGAATTAAATCCCATGATATGATGATTAAATCCATGAAATTGCATGCGGAAAAAAACAAACCAGTTTTGAATGGTTAATCCACCATCTTTGATGGTCAATCTTTGGTATATAGTATATACAGTAGTCCAAAAAACAACTTTGCTGATGGTGTGTGTTTTCCATTTATAGCCAAAACAACTAAAGGATTGTCCAACTACCTATCCAAGGTTTGGGAATGTCTTGATACGGTAACTACATCTAAAATCAGCTAGACATACGGATGTCTTTTCATATACTAGTCCTATACGAACTGGTATTTTAGAATACCTCCAGGAAGGTTTTCCCTGTTACCCTCTGGTAAACGTTTACATAACTATAGAACATCACCATCTTTAATGGGTAAATCAACTATTTCTATGGATTCTATGGCCATTTTCAATAGCTTTTTGTTTCAGTTTACCAGGCCACATAACCTTCCAACAGGTCTCCTGAGGCATCCCACTCTGAGCTGCCAATGTACCGATCACCTCACCTCACGCGAAAAATGGATGGATTTTCCATGGGAAAATCCATGGGAAATGGGAAAATCCCATGGAAACTCCCGGGAAGTTCCAAAGATTTAGGATTTTAGGCCTGCTAAATACTAAAGTGGATGGTTTTCTGGCAGATTTTACTTCTGCTCCTTTTTGAAGTTTTTTTTGAAGTTTGTTTTTCCCCAGAAACCGTATTGGCTTCTGAAATGCCATCCGTATTGGTCACATTCTCAGGATTCTTCAACATATAGGGTACTCCAGGTACTCCGCTGGTCAATAACGGCGCAGTACATATATTACCATTTGGAGTATATGCCATACATCCCTACAATATCATATACTTGGTAATGTATTGGTGTGGAATTAAAAAAGGGATGTATACTTTTACCATAGAATATAATTGGTGGTATACTTTTACCATACAAAAAAATAATGTCACCATGTTTCTCATTATACCAACGGCGCTGCAATTCTGCATCCACATGCGGGCGCTGCATATCGTAGCAGTTCGGGAAGATCCATGGAGATTTTGTGATTTCTGGGAATCATTGGAAACGGACTTGGGGATCTTACCTGGTTTTTGGAAATTATTATTGAAACTAATAACTGGTATATACTCCAAATGGTAAAATAAAATATGGTATATACCATACATCCAAATGATTATTGAAACTTAGTATACAGCAATAATTACTGCTTGGATCTGCTTGGTGGTTGACCTACCCCTCTGAAAAATATGAGTTCGTCAGTTGGGATGATGAAATTCCCCATATATGAAAACCTATGGTTTTTGGGGATCCCCCATTTTAGGAAACATATATTGAAACTATGATCAGATACTTAGAATACTGGTTGGTGGTTTTTCGCCCTAGCCCTCTGAAAAATGATGTTCGTCAGTTGGGATGATGAAATTCCCAACTCTTTCTGGAAAGTCACTCAAAATTCCTTGGTTCCAAAGCACCAACCAGTTACATTAGCAGATCCAAAAGTTGTCACAAGTTGTACCCATGATGAGCTAGATTGAATCAGTACAATTTGAAGGGTCATGTTCCAGCATTTTCCCATTTCGCTCGCAACCCTCGCCCTTTTTATTCTCTGGTCATGACTCCCTGGACAGTTCGTCTTGCTCGGAGCCGTTTCCGCCGTAAATCAATGATCACATGGAAGGTGAAAGAAGTCTCCGCCGTGGGAGGCCGTGGAATGCCGGAGAGCGGAACTTGACCTGTGGCACTGTGGCCTCGAAACGAGGCCTAGACTTCCAGGATCTCCAATCATGATGAAGCGAAATCAAAGTCGAGCATGGGCCATTTGAGCATGGCACATGGCCATATTTTTCTCCATTTTTTACGATACATTCCCAATGTTTATTCATGTTTATTCATCACCCCAGAGTTTACTAGGCCATCAGCCGAGGCGAAACTGAGTTCCTTGCCTCTCTTCATCCCTCTCAAAAGGTAGCCCCCAGCTGTCTGCTTTGCCACTGGGCTTAGTGTACAATCCGCAGTAATCTACGGGGCAAATAGTGCGTCGAAACAGCGGGATCTATGGGATTTACCGTGAAATCATCGCAAGTTCCTCGCAAGTGGATGAATTGCACGAACTCAGTTCCTGGACTGGACATCGCAAGGACATGTCAGATCTTGAAATGCTCATAAATGATCACATATAACTATGGTTTATAACTTCAATAACTATAGTTACTGGGGCTTAAAAACCAACTTATAACTGGGACATATATATATATATATATATATAATATATAATATCTGGTTGGTGGTTTCAACCCCTCTGAAAAATATTAACGTCAATGGGAAGGATGACATCCCATATATGATGCAAAATAAAATTCATGTTTGAAACCACCAACCAGATATAATAAATACATCTTCCTGCTATCTGGACCCCTGACATTTGAGTGGAAGAATGGCTCCAACATTGGTGAATAGCACGCATTGCACGGCTTCCCTGCACTGCCGTCTCGACAAAATAGCGCTATTCGGCATATTCGGGTCCCCAAGTGTGGAAACATCTGCATTTTTACCCTTAAAATGCCATAGAAATACCATTAGAGTGAAAATTCAAATCTATATTTGTGCTCCTTGAATGCTTCGTACATTGACGCATCATTCAACCCCAAACTCAACTGCGCTTTAAGTGTGCTTCGCAGGTGAACTCTGCCCGGTTGTAGGAATTCTGTCCTGCCAATATACCTGTTTTATCCTGTTTTATCTTCAATTTGAAGAAATCAGGATAGAATCAGGTAAATATAGGTAAATCGTAGTCTTATTTTTCCACAAAGCAACGAACATGGCACGTGCTTTCGTCGAACATTCCTCCATCCGTGTTCAGCTTCAACGTTCGGATCGACTCTCTCAGGAATTCTCAGGCCATTTGGATGGGTTTGCTGGGCCAAGCCTGCGATGAAAACATGTAGCATGCAGAAGTCAAGTATATACCCATAGGATCCATGTATGGTATATATGCTAACATTGGGGGTATATTGATGGTAAATGTTACCATATATAGCAGCACCATGGATCCTATGGGATAACAAGTAAGCTACCTAACGGACCTAACGCTTGGAGTTTATGTCTGGTTTATGTCTGGTTTCTGTATATGTTTCAAACGTAGAGTTTGCCATTATTCTCAAGTCAACCAATGGATGTTTGGTCATCTTTGACACCTGAGTCTGTTCTTCACGCTCCGCCGACGAAAGACGGCCGATCTCTGTTTGGAGATTGTGTCCGGGGTCAAACTTTCAGATCACTTAAAAGCCAAAGATTTGCAGTATCCATTTAGTGTGGTTAAAACACTAATAAACCATCCACAAAAATCACCAGAAATGGGTGGTATAGACCATCAAAAATGGGGTGGTTTATTATGGTTTTAACCACATTATAGGTCAATTTGTCCAAACACTTCGCGAACTGGAAGATCAGCATCCGGTTGCCAGCCTTGTGCAGTTGCCAGCTCGAGTGAACCTGCCAAAAATGCCAAGGAAGCCACGTTTCAAACGTCTCCTGTTTTCTACATCTGTGGTTTGTGGAAATCAAGGGATCACCATATATGTATATGAATGTATGTATATATTACATATACATAATAGTGTATAGGATATGGTTGTCTGCTATACGGTAATTACGTCTAAATATACGTTGTTTTTTTATATTCGAACTGGAATTTTAGACTTCCATTTTAGTCTACCTCCGGGAAGGTTTTCCTTGGCCCGCCCGGCCATTTACACACACGGAATCCAATATATTCAAATATACATTTAAATATACGGATGGAACTGGTGTTTCATACACTTCCGGGGCCTTGTAGTCTGGCCCGCCCTCCACATATTTAAATGTCGTTACCACAAATATATACTATTGACTAGTGTTGCAACTTGAGATCACTGAAAATCCAGTATAGATTGGGATGATAAATCCACATTTATTACAAAATCCAGTACCTATGTTTGTGCATGTTGGTGTTAGGTAGCTTGAGCAATACTGTGGTTTCCCTGCAAAATGATCTACAAATGGTAGACATGCAACATCCCTATCTTACTTTACTGGATGGTAAACCACACTAGAATTTATCATTATGATTTCCCTCTGTTTAGTTTAATTTCATAATTGTTTTCTGGAGTTTGCCTCTTAGTTTTCAATATCCATGTTTGTTTATCATCTGGGTTTGTCTGACAATATTCAAAATAGGATGCCAAACAAATTGATGGTTCTTGGGGTGAATTCCTGATTTTCATACCCAAAGTTTCATGTTAAGTCTGTTGCTGTATATATATATATATGTATATATAAATACCTCTATGTACACATAATTATATATGTGTACATCCATATATGTCTATATACATTTGTAAATATACATATGTATACATAATTGTATGTATGTATATATATATATATTACATATTATATATTGCACTAATCTGTCCCTATTATCCCATCATACACCAAGGTCATGCATATATCTCTCGCCTCTCGCGTCCAAGCTAAAGGCCAAAGCAAGTAGGCAGCCTGAGGCCATGGCTCTGGGTGTCTCATCCCCAACAACGAAAGTTAGTATACAGCAATAATTACTGGTTGGTGGTTTCAACCCCTCTGAAAAATATGAAAGTCAGTTGGGATGATTATTCCCAGTATATGGAAACCTATGGTTTTTGGGGATCCCCCATTTTAGGAAACATATATTGAAACTATGAGAGATACTTAGAATATCTTAGAATACTGGTTGGTGGTTTTTCGCCCTACCCCTCTGAAAAATATAGTTCGTCAGTTGGGATGATTATTCCATTCCCAATATGATCTTGGAAAGTCGTAAAAATCTTCCAAACCACCAAGCAGTTGTAGGTTAAACATGGTTAAACCACGGTTTTTCCCACCATCCTTCACCAAACCACCAACCAGATTTTTCTATAAACCAGCCATATGGTTATGGGTCAGTTCATCCTGAGCCCCAAACGGGTACGGTACCCGTTAGAACGTCCCCGGCATGGTACCTGTTAGTCAATGCTGGGTCATGGCTGGAAGTTGATTCCTCAAAATATATGGTAATAATTAACAATACATAGGTTTTGACGCATCCCCATATTGGGAAATGAATGTGACAATGAACCCCATGAAAACATCAGAAACCAAATGATTAAACATGATGGTGGTTTATGTCATTTATGATCACCTATCATCATCTATCCCATGTTGTGAATTTTATCATGGGTACATAAATCCCTAGGAACAGGGATTGAGGACCATATCCCAACGTGGAACTATGGCACATACGAGGTTTAACGGGGGTTACTGTGTTTGTTTGTCTTTTTTTGGGGGGGTTACTACTCTACCCTCTGGTAAACGTTTACGTAGCTATGGAAAATCCCCATGGTTGATAGGTACCATCTGGTTATTTAACATAGCCATGGAAAGATCCACCATTTATAAGTTCGCTAAACCATCTATTTCTATGGGCCATCTATACCATGGCAAACTGTTAGTCATAACCAGAGGGTAAATCCCATTTGATCACCATTCAACCACCATTTTTAATCACCATTTTCCTATGGTTTTATAGTAGAATCACCATAAAATCACCATAAAATCACCATAAAATGACCAGAGGGCAATAGGCTGGTGAGTCTTGGGCCAAATCTTGGGCCTTGATGTTCGATGGATGTATAACCATGTTGTAAGCCATTTGAAAGCCTAGATTGACTATAAATGTATAAAGATTGACTATAATGTATAAATAGATATCATATTAATAAAGATAAATAATGTATATATATACAGTATATGTATCACTTTATTATTATTGTTGTTAGCGTTATATATTACATACATACATATATACATACATAACACAACATTACATAACATTACATTACATAACATTACATAACATTACATTACATAACATTACATTACATAACATTACATTACATACATATATATTATATATAAATATGTATCCAGTCTACATATATTCCTGGTTATTGGTGTTAGATACCACCAATTAGTGTTCACGAACTGGGGCACCACCTTGCGGGTCATGTTTGTTTTTTTTGTTTTCCTTCAGACCTTTGTTTTGGCCTTCCCTACTCTTGTTGATGATGTTGATGTGTGAATTTGATTGTTCTTGTAAGCTTTTCTATGTTATCTGTTTGTATTTGCTTTTATGTGTTTGTGATGTGTTTTTATGTGTAGTTTACCCAAATAGCATCCTACTAGATAGCGCGCTGGTTCTCAGAGAAGAACTAAATGGGCAAATGTATGCAAACATGAAAATCATCGAAATAACTGTTGGATGTTCCAGTCACTTACCCAGAGGGTCAGCTATATTAATTGTTCTGGTTTTAAAAAAAATGGGGAGCTGAGGTGGTTTATACCTCCTCTGGGCTCCTTCTGGTATTCATCCTAGCCACTGCGAACACATCATCCATCCAAGTGGCCACAGAGAGATATTCCATGATAGCAAGCCCCTGCCGAGGCAGCTCGTAGTGATTGGGGATCAGTTGCCTCAGTCGTCGCGGCGAAAAACCTCTTTAGCCGCGTTGACAACCTCGGTCATTCCATGATGAATTAAAAGGGGACTTTGTCAGAATGCACGATGATTGTCCCCATCTGGTGTCTGATATTCCCCGAAAAAAGTTAGTCAAGCAATGCATAAATTAACATCTAACTGGTATAATCCATAGTAAATAAACAAATTCTAACTAATATATATATATATATAAATATGATATCCATAGTTGTAAAAACTGGGGACTATAGGCAATGTTATCTGGTTTTTCATCCAATGATACACCTATAATAATCCAAGAAACGTTTCTTGGATAAACCAGCCAAATTCATGGTATTTTTTGGCTTGCTCTGGCACCTTCGAGGATCCACGAAATGCCATGTGTTGCTGATGCCACAAAGTGTATGGCATGACACTGTGAAAAAATCCCCGAGGGAAGTTGAAATAATATGAATCATGAAGCCATTCATCAGAAACAGATGATCAAATTTCAGAAAAAAAAACGACAAAGATATCTGGTTGGTGGTTTTAACAATCTTGAAAATATGAACGTCAATGGGAAGGATTATCCCATAGATTATGGAAAATAAAATTCATGTTCCAAACCACCAACCAGATATTGAAAAATCATCAAAGTTCAAGCAGTAGAAACATGCTAGAAACGAGCCGTGAAAGATACCTGTATCCCATCTCATTATACTAGGTACTAGGTGGTTAGTAAATAGTCCCATTATGAGTTACAATAATCCCCAAGAGATCACTTAGTATAGCCCTCTATATTAACCCATTAACAGAGGTATTTTTTTATGGCTGATATGGTGGTTTCCTAAATAAAATAGGGGTACCCCATTTCATCATCCATCTTATCTTTGGAGTTTCCATTATAAACCATCCATTTTGGGGTACCACCATTTACAGAAACCGTGATATTTTCCCATAGTTTTCCATATTTGTGTTCCCATATGTTTCCATTATTTTCCATTATTTTCCAAGGATTGTCCCATTTACAGAAACCTCCATATAAGTGTCTTATAACTAGGATCATCAACCACTTATTAACCTATGAAAAAAGAGGTATCATTTTTCAATGGCTCATATGGTGGTTAGTATTTTCCCAGGTTTTTTCCAAGAATTTTCCCATTATTGTCCATATGTTCCATAGTTTTCCATGTTTTTCCAAGGATTTTTTCAATTTTCCATATGATGTTTCAAGGATTTTCCCCTGGTTGGTGTATCGATTCTCCACTTCTCCACAAAGCTGACACACCGAGAGGCTGATCCAGAAGCAGCATGACCTGACGCCAAGGTGACAAAAAAAATCTGATGAATAGGGAAACCATGGGACATTTGGAGAAATATATGGGAATATATGGGAAATATATGGGAAATATATGGAGGTTATGAACTATGGATGAATTTATAGGGAGTTTCCAATTGGGAAATCTCTGGGAAGATGATCATCAATGGAGATCAATTTTAAGGGACATATAACTCATTAATATATGTATGTATATTGGGGGTTTCATCAGGGAAAATAACTAAAATAACTCATCAGGGAAAATATATGTATATAAATCAATATCAGGGAAATATAATTCATCAATATATCATGGGGGCTTTCCGAGAAGTCATGAGGGTATAGCCCCAAATCCAAGTCATGACTTAACCATGACTTAGTATTGCAACGGACCATGGTGACTTGGGGTACCCCCATTTTTTGAGGTAATTGGGATGGTAAAACGCATCATGTCTGGTTGGTGGTTTCAGCCTATCCCTCTGAAAAATGATGGAGTGAAAGTCAGTTGGGATGATGACATTCCAAAAATATGGACACATAATCCAAAGCACCAAAACCAGATATATTACATACTGGATATATCTGAATATGGGATACCCTCTGGTAAACTAACATAGCTATTGAAAATGACCATTGAAATAGTGAGTTTTCCCATTAGAAATGGCCATTTTCCATAGCTACGTTAAATTACCAGAGGGTACTGGATATGATACCAGATATATCATTGGATCATACTGATCATCCCATTTGGGATGCCAAACCATGGCCACGGAACATCACGGTTTACGTGTTGGAGCTTTCCATCCATGGTTTCCCGGTTCTGCTCAGATCCATCGTCAGGAAACCGTGATCGTGCAAAAGCATTGTGTTAAGGGTCATACCCTCTGGTAAATAAACTTGTTGACCCTGAAAATAGCCAATCTTTAATGGAAACTCATCTGAACCAAGTCCTATTTGCCAGGGTCTTATGTTAATTTACCAGAGGGTATTTCAAGAAAGTCTCGGAAAGTGATGACCTATGGATTTCAAATTCTGTACATTTGTGAGTAATGATATGTTGGATGATATCCAGCAGTGAACAGAACATCCATGTAACATATAGATTGGACGAATGCTGCATTTTTCGACATCACAACCTATATGTGTAATTATTATATATATATATATGTACATATACAATAGCTAGTAGTATGACACCGAAAGAATGAACAAGTGACATATAGAACGTCTCATTCTATATTCATATGATTTCATTTACAATACCTGATGGGTTTATATGGGTTTATGACATATTATGTTTCATACCTACTGGTAAGATATATGGGTATAATCCCATATATATATGTACACAATACATTCATATCAAATGTGTATACCTAATATGATGGGATTTTGCTGATGGAATACACTCCACATTAAGGTATCATAAGGTATATCTGGCTGGAGTATTATCCATCCCACTAGGTACAATCTATATGTAAAATATATCCCTGCTATACCTTTAAAAAAACACAAACAAAAAACGCTAATTAATATCGCATTATATATGCATTATATAAGATAAAGTATATTAAGGGCTTGTGATTGTGGGGTTCATATATACCTTATAATTGCATATTTCATACCTAATGAACTAATTTCTATCCCATAATAACAAGCCTAAAATCCATTGAGATCCCATCATCGTTATAACTATAATCCCAGCTTCGGAATTTTAAAAATCTATATGGGCAAAGAATTCCTCAAGATTAAACAACTATATGTGGGATTATAGAATTTATATAACCATACTCCCACGAAATCACAGCATTCCGAACCCCAACAAACGCCCCCAATATTCGGCTGCGTCCCCCAACGATGAAACTGCTCAGAATGAAGGCACTGCACAGAGTGGAAACGCCCAGACACCTGGCGGGACATGGCATGGATCATTGGTAAACTAACATAGCTATTGAAAATGGCCATTTATAGTGAGTTTTCCCATGAACAATGGTGATTTTCCATAGTTATGTTAGTTTACCAGAGGGTATTGGAAACTTTGGGACAGTGCTTCCAAAACCTGATAACCTGATCTGGTTTCAAAACCAAAAATCCGCTGGTTGGTGGTTTTAACCATCTTTGAACGTCAATGGGAAGGATTATCCCATATATTATGGAACATAAAAAATGTTTGAAACCACCAACCAGTCTAAATATGGAGTTATATCACCGGGCTTGGGTAAGTTCGTGGCTTAATTGTGAAGACCCTGATGATAGTAGAAAAATAACATCACCTTCATCAATGGCTATTTCAGGAACCTAAATTGGAGGTACCTACCATATATAAGGCCTATTTTTCAGGCCTATGTAAGGGAATATCCCCACAAAATATGGCCTTATATGGTACAGTACCTCCATTTTAGGATCCTGAAATTCCCATTGAAGATATGCTGATATGCTTGTTTGCAAGGTATCCGAGATTGGCCATGAACCACCACTTTTTCATCAGGACTTTCGGACTCCCTGCTTGTTTGCTATCTGGGCGAATCACGCGAAGGCATTAAGATTCAGCAAAACTTAAAACCTGAAATACTTGGTCATGTTGGGATGGTTATCCATAATTATTTCTAACCACCATTGTTGGTTTTATAGTTATAAGATGAGTTATAAGATAGTCAAAAGAATTAATAAGTTATAGTTGAGTTATAGTTATAGTTAATGCCTTTAAGATGCCTTTAAGATGTATAGTATGTTACACATCCATATACATCCCATCAACTATAGATAACTAGTAAGTTATAATAGTTATAGTTATAATTACTGGTTGGTTTTAACCATCTTGAAAAATATAAACGTCAATGGGAAGGTTTATCCCTTTTTTTATTATGGAAAATAAAACAGATTCCAAACCACCAACCAGATTATTAATTAAAGGGAAATTTGATGGGATATGATTATAGTTAATACTATTATCATGGGATATATTGGTTATATATCATGACAAACCACCAACCAGATGGTTATATATCATGTATATGATGTTATTTGCGCATTATTTGCCTATCATAAACCCTAGAAAAATGCCATCCCACGCCTGGACGAGAAGCCACCCAAAAAAACGCGATTTCCGAAGGCCGAGGCCAGAACCGCGATCACCTGTGCTCCACCACGGGAAACATGAGGGAGTTATTGGTTGTTTCTTTAAGATAACCACGGGAAAACCATAGGAAAACCATAGGAAAATGGAGGTTCACCCTCTGGTAAACTAACATAACTATGGAAAATCACAATTTTTAATGCGTAAATCCACTATAAATGGGCCATTTTCAATAGCTTTTTGTATGTTTACCAGAGGGTAAACATCTGGTTGGATTTCAACCCCTCTGAAAAATGATGGAGTGAAAGTCAGTTGGGATGATGAAATTCCCAACTGAATGGAACAATAAAATTCATGTTCCAAACCACCAACCAGATAAATATGCAACAATATATGGAGGGGGATCCACAAAACCATAGGTTTCAATACAAAAATGGTCCAATGACTTGGATGATTTGGGGGTAGGTCCATTTCAGGAAACGTCCATATAATATATCACATATAATATATTATATTATATTATATGTAAATATATATATATATAATGTGGTCTATAATGGTCATTAATATTTATATATGTATATAACTATATATATATAATATGTGGTCATTGGCTGCTTTTAAGAGTCTATAAGTTTATATGGATGTGTCTGAAAATTGTGTATACCCCCCGCAATGGGAAAATGAGGATTATATATATATATATATATATATATACACAATGTGGTTTTCCCACAGGATAGCTAAGTTGGGTATAAAAATAACATAAATGGGCTTTATAAGCCAACTTATGACTGGCGGGATCTGTAGGAACTCGTTGACATTTGCGTCTATAACGTCTATAATTCTGGGTAAATTGTAATAGTTCACTGATTGTTAAAAATCTCGGCTATTTTGGGATAGTTATTTCTTCCTAACCATCATTCCAGGTTGCGACGTGAGGTCGTGATCATGGGATCTTTATTGGGAGCCCCGATTAACATGTTGTGTCCTTATTGGGAATACCATCTTTTTGTAGGCCCATAAACTATGGTATAAGTGGAATTGTAGATGGATTATATAATGATATATAATGAATATACATGGGACTGGCTGAGACTTTATTGGGAATATCATCTGTAAATGGAGCGTTTATTTGGAGGAATTGAGTAAGGATCCGGGTGACCCCCAAAAACCACCCACAGGATCATCTGCTAAACGGGCAACCCCCAGTTAAAGAGCCCAGAAGGCAATTTATCCTGGGTTGAGAGTACTTTTCTCCAGACATCAATTTGTACCTACATGAGTATGTGGGAATTACGAATTTTACATGTTGCTACTTTCATCCAAGTGTAGAACGTCACCTTACATCCATGTATCAACGTTTTTTGACTAGGTTGGTGGAAGGAACACCATCCATCCAGATCCAACAATGGATTTGTCCAAAAATGCAGTATACCTCCCAACATGTGCAATTTTGATAGGAGAAATGAATACACATAATGATGAACCAGTGGACGGAATTGGGGTTCTGCAGGTTCCCATGATTTTCAGGTACCGACGGTACCGAACCCAAATGATCATGTTTGACAACCAAGGTACCATGGTTCCAAAACAGAAGACCAGACTCATCACTTGCAGTTTCGGAAGATCGAACACATGCAGCAGCAAGGTGAGCAAACCCAACCTCATGACAGGCGGAACGGCGGAACTGCCAAGATGTTGGATGTGTACCCGGAAAATAAGTGCTTTGGACAGTCGTGTTTTACTGAAGTGAAGAATGTTTACTGAAAGGATGCTTTGTTAGGGTGTGGGTCAAAAGGTGTTTTCTCACAACTATTCGATGATTAATGAGGAAATTGACCAAAGTAAGTGACAGCATGGGTCATACATATGTCATCAATTGTCATCATATGTCAGTATCTAGGTAACGATGAAGCTTAAATCATAGTTCTTACTTTGCTGAAGCATTGTGGCATCCTCACTGACGGAAAAATAGTTGAGTCCCGTAAAAAGGTTGAGGTCACAGAACAAAAAAACGGAATTTGAAACCTTGAACCATCCGTTCCCCACCAGAATTGTAACTAACTAATACCCTCAACAATCCACAGCCACCATAATTTCCAGATATTTCCGGCCTGTATCTACTCTTTGTTTACCCTCACCTCCACGGTTTCTTCCATGCTTGGCTCCCCCACACGATGCTCAGGTACCCTGATAGACAGCCCAGTTCCTTCGTGAAGCAAATTTCCTAGCGATCTGAGATTTGCCACCAGGGTCACCCTTAAACATATGGCGAACTTGGGATCTCTTGTGACATTGTGGCGATGGAAAATAACACATCAATACTTATACATACTTATACTATATATATATGATGTATATGTGAATCATTATGAATCCATGTTACTCGAGGATTTTAGGAGTAGTTCTTGGGTCGACCGAGAATGAGTTCAATGGAATACACACCAACATATTGATTACGTTTTGTGAAATATACAATTATGCGACGTCGTCTCATATGGGCCCAGCATAATGCAAAACATATATATATATATATATACATATATCATTGGGAAAAAATCGTCACAAGGGAAGTGGCAAATGGACAAACCTTAAGCTGCCTAGAATCAAAAAACGTAGTTCTGATTGCCATACATTCGCTGATCAATTACACATTTACCAGGGAAACATAACAGCATATTAGTATATTTACGCCTATTCTTACTATACGATCATTATTATAACTGTATATAATTATATAATATTATATAATACTATTATTATATACTATTACTATTATATCATCATTAAAAAACAAATATTGTTCTTAATTATATATGACTATTGTTGCTATGACTGCTATTGTTCTTATTGTTATTGTTACCAGTTGATTCATTGAACTTCAGTGCTTCCATGATTGATCAAGGCTTTGGGGACCTGGCCTCAGACTCAAAGATTGAAGAATTCACCGCATGACCTCGGCAGAATCTGTCGCATGGTCTACTTGGAGCGTCCAAAGATGATGACAAAACATGCCAACAAAAAAACAACGGATGATTTCGAGCCACTCCAATCCTTGGTTTAGAGAAATAGTATATATATATATATAATATAGCTAAGAAAATTCGCAAGTCCATCAGTCCACTTCTTCAGAAATGACTCCTGGTGTTTCCTTCTGAGGATGAGGATCAGCATCGCATCACATATTGACACCGTTATATAGTCATTCTGGAGTAGATGTTTTTTTTGTTTAAATGAAAAATTACCCTCTGGTTATTTAACATAGCCATGGAACATGGTCCATTTATAGATGTTGTTTGCTGATTTACCTATTAAAAATGGCAATTTTCCATGGCCATGTTTAATAACCAAATGGTAACAACTCCTCAGATGGAAAACCATACGGATTTGGAATGGAGAGATCATACGGATTCAACTCTGAGCCAGCCTAAAGGGAATACCCGAACTGTTCCGAACCGTTCCAAGGAACTGGAGACTTTGTTGATTTCTCCATTCAAACCTCCATTTTTGGTGGATTTCCCCCATGTGTTTCCCATATGTTCCTTCGTTTTTGGTGGACTTCCCCCATGTTTTCCCAATATTTTGGGTGTTCCATTGAAGCCTGTAAAAATGCAGCCCCATCTTGCATCTGCCAGATCCGACGAGCTACTCACCAGCCACACAGCAGCTGCCATGGAAAGCAAGGATGGTAGGGCACCCAGCACCACCAAATAGCCTGTGGCCAGGACAATTTTGCATCAAAAGGGAAAAAAACGGCCCGGGGATGTCATATTCGAGCTTTGCCCAGGTCTAAATGTTTTGGGTCTCTATTTAGGTCCAAAATGTCCCTTTCGTGGCCATATAGTGGAGACTTTTAATGATTATTAAATATAGCTATATGATTTTCAGACAAACCCACGTGTCATGGGGTTGCTGGAGAGTTTCTTGATCCCCACCGGCAGTGGTCTCACTGTTTTTTGCTCACGAAAAACATCTGCGAGGCACCTAGCGGCTTCACCATGGAGCATTGGGAGCATGGAATGCCATGGAAACACGCACATCAGGCCACTCAGACTTGAAAGCAAATCAGAAAGTGACCAAGGTCGATTGAATTGTGTGCAATGCCACGGTTGATGATTGTAGGGTGTTATATCATCCAAGACACTGGATATTATAATTCTTAGACCCTAGACTCATTATAATCATGATTCCCAGTTCATTATCCCTATCCCAGTTCATTAACTCTGAACTGTATTATCCCAGTTCATTATGCCTAACCCCATTCTCCCAGTTCATGATCCCTATCCCAATCATTATCACTTCCCTATTCATTAATGACATTAATGGAACTATCATGGTTATCCCAATTAGTATTGTGGTTATCCATGTTCCCATTTCCTTACTCTTATCCCAGTTCAACTATCATAGAACTTCATTATCCCTATCCCAATCATTATCATTTCCCTATCTGGTTGGTGGTTCCATCTTGAAAAATATGAAAGTCAATGGGAAGGATTATCCCATATATTATGGAAAATAAAATTCATGTTCCAAACCACCAACCAGATTAACAGGGGTTGGTAAATGTCCTAATTGAACATCACCCAACTATTGGGGATATAATCACCAACAAATACTTTTTTCAAGTGATGTTCAAAATCCCCAAAACAGGACATTTACCAACCCCTGATTAATATCATGGAACTGGGAACAACTCCGAACTTGAAGGCTCCCCCGGTCTGCTCGTCAATGTCACGTACCTCCCGGTCGGGCATCCACAGGTCTGCCTGGGATCGGGCGAGGGGGATTGGGAAAACCGGACCTTCGGTCTGCGTTACCTGGCTTACGGTTTCTGGGCTGCGGCAAAATAAAATGAGGGATATATATGTATATATATATGTATGTTATATATATATATATATGTATGTTATATATATGTGATATCTATATATATAATTTATGATATATATATATATAAACACTGATGATGACGATGATGACAATGACGGCGACAATTATAGCAACATGTTTTCAGCTTGTCGATTGAACTTAAATTCTCTATCCACTGGTGACACCATCCCCTGGAATAAGCTGATTGGTGGTTGAGCCCTACCATGGGTTGGTAATATACCATTAGTATATGGTTAATATTAATGGTTATTATATGGTTAATGATGGTTAATAATAATCTGATTGCTGGCTTTTCGCCCTACCCCTCTGAAAAATGATGGAGTGAAAGTCGGTTGGGATGATGACATTCCCAACTGAATGGAAAAATAAAATGCATGTTCCAAACCACCAACCAAATAAGGGTTTGTTGAATGTTTTGTTAATATCGCTAGCTCCCCTCTTGAAAGAAAATGAACAACACATTGAGATTTATCTATATTTATCAAAGAAACCATGTGACAACGGTACTGGTATCACAATGTTCAAAACATGACTATTTGGCCATCACTATTTCATTGCCTGGTAACTGTCAACAAAAAAATGGCGTTGTCAGACGTAACTGAAGGAGGTGGAAGCATCACCGAAACTAGATAGAGTACAAACGCCGATGATTCCAATGGGCAAGCGGTCTCAGAACTGTCAGTTAATTGTGGGATATTCAATGATATTCAATGATATTCAATGATATTCATTTCGGAATCATGAATAAAATGGTGAATGTAGGGATATTAGTTGAGATGTTCATTAATTCAGGACTTGATCTGTTGACCGTAACCGCCGTAACCCCCAAAAGTCACATCTCCGAGATGCTCAGTAAGGGCCAGGCTTGAGAAGAGGTGAGAAGGTCTGCGACCTTGGCCCGGTGGGCCAGTGCCATCACAGGCAGCAATGGATGGTCAAATTCGTTGCGACCTTGTGAAACTACTGAGGTGCACTGCAAATTATGTCTGGTTGGAACCATTTAGTATGGAAACCTATGGTTTTTGGGGATCTCCCATTTTAGGAAACATATATTGAAACTATGATCGGATACTTAGAATACTGGTTGGTGGTTGAGCCCTACCCCTCTGAAAAATATGTATTCGTCAGTTGGGACGATGACATTCCCAATATATGGAAAAAAAAAAGGTTCCAAACCACCAGCCAGATTTTTACTATGTATACAATCCATTTTTGGATATAAAGGGGCACCCCACGTTTGCCCCATACCCATATAGATGCAATAATTCCTAGTTATAGCAAAGTAAAAACCCTGTACTCAAACGCAGCGACGGAAAACACTTTGTAACCCCACTGGTACTGGATTCAAAATACATAATAATATAACAATAGGCAATATTAGGCAATGCTCTCTAGATTCGCAGAGGTACTGCACTGGTACAAAAAGAACCTATGAAGCGTAAGAAAGTAGCTTTCCAGCCTGGGTCCACCAGGTCTGTTCTCTTGATGACCACACCAGCTGTGAAAAAAACATCTGCTCAGGACGGTCAACAATTATGGCCTTGCTCATATGTATATAATTATATATATACATATTATATATATATATACATATTATATATATATACATATTATATATATATATATGTATGAATGTGAATGTAACTGTGCATATATATATATGTGTGTGTGTGGGTGTATGAATATATCAGAAGTTAAAACCGTCCATGTCCTTTAATTAATCAACCTTTTGTTGGAGCAATATCAAAGTCCTTCACTGCCAATCTGAGATAACTGCCAAAGATTTGGAAACAATTCATCAAGCTCAAACGGTCCATGATGTAAATCAGTGCGATCATCTATCATTATACATAGATAGATAGATAGATAGATAGATAGATAGATAGATAGATCGATCGATAGATAGATAGATAGATAGAGTATCTATGATCTATGAGTGTATTCATTTATCTATATCTATATATATATACATGTGGGATGGTCCGGGCATTCTTGGGGACCATGGTCCTATGGTGGTTTCCTAAGTCATGTGGGTAGCCCCAAATCATCCAGTCGTCATCAGACCATTTTTCGTATGGAAACCTATGGTTTTTGGGGATCCCCCATTTTAGGAAACATATATTGAAACTATGATCAGATACTTAGAATACTGGTTGGTGGTTGAGCCCTACCCCTCTGAAAAATGATGGAGTTCGTCAGTTGGGATGATGACATTCCCAATGATTATATGGAAACAAAAAAAATGTTCCAAACCACCAGCCAGAATATATATATATATATATATACATATGCAGGTTGTCTAAAATAGGGGTATATGACCGCCTGGCGGTGTTGCCGGGTACCCCGGACTAAGCTCGCGAAGAGTGTGAGAAGGCCCAGCAGGCCTGGACCGACGTTTTCGATGCGCCATGCCTTTTGGTCTTTCCGTGTTCCCCAAACTTCGTGAGATCTTGGCAGATCCATGTTCTGAATGTGTTTACCTTCTGGTAAACATACAAAAAGCTATTGAAAATGGCAATTTATAGTGAGTTTTCCCATTAATAGCATGGTGATGTTCCATAGTTTTTTGTTAACGTTTACCAGAGGGTATGTATTTTTCTCAAATAGAGTTTCCTCCCAAGAAAGTTTTTTTGCAGATGTTCTGCGGGGTAGAAATATCTTCCATATCTTCCATCCACAGAAATATCCAGACCCAGTTAGGTAGCCAGACATTTCATCACTGTTTCAACTTTTCGGATCCCTGTTGAAGTTCTCACCAATTCTATTCCTACGATGGGCCAGCGAAATCCTGATTGGATAGATGGTATAGATATCCCCCTGAAAAACGGTGGTGATTCGGATTTCGCAACCATCCACCAGTTGGGATGTCTACTGTACTCTCTGGTAAACGTTAACAAAAAACGAACTGGAAAGATCCACCATTGCTATTCATATTTTTCATGGGAAAACTCACGACATTTCGACTGGGCCATCTATACCATAGTTATGTTAGTCATTACCATTTCGATCATCCCTTCAGAAACTCCACAGCTTTGACTTCCCAGGTCGTGTCATGTGTTACTTCATAATCCCCAGCTTTATTCACCAGGGTACAGTAAAAAACAATATGGAGGGCTTCCCATATCCAACCAGAATATATACATATAGCTCAAAAAAATGAACGAAGCCCTACACATATTTGGTTGAATTGAGCAACAACAATGGCTCAACATAGGTGGTTTATGATGGTTTATGTATCCACCTCATAGGTGTGATACAACCAGTGCTGCGGATGTGGGGATTGGCAAATACGATTGGCATCACAAGAACATGACTTAAATTGTGATGTTTTTGATGATCAAATTCCAATGTTTCTGAGTTATGACTAATTTTCTGGTAACCAGATACCAATTTCATGGTGGTTTAATGGTGATCAAATGGGATGTACCCTCTGGTTATGACTAACAGTTTGCCATGGTATAGATGGCCCATAGAAATAGATGGTTTACCAAACTTAGAAATGGTGGATCTTTCCATGGCAAAATGTTAAATAACCAGATGGTAATCCCATCTCTGAAAATTGGGGATGGAATGGTAATGGTCACAACATTCATGAAATCAGTGAAATCTACAGTGATGTGACATAACCTGCGTCATTCATTGGATTAACCCAATGGATGATTTTCTGAAATATATGGGGTTAAACATGTGGTAGGAATATGGAGATTGATCCCACCAAATGTATGATGCTTCTTGATGACATGAACAAATAGCGAATATCTTCTATGTATATTATATATATATATATATATACATCCTATTGAATAACATATAACATCATATATGATCATTAAAAACATATGAAATTCATCATTTTATGTCATCAAATCCATCATGAGCTGGGCCTGGTGCGCCCAAGAGCTGTCGCACGATGATGGGATTCCAGCTGGGTGAGAGACCCTCAGGGCGCGCGTGGCGTATCTTGGCGTTTTGTGAGTGGAAATCCCATGGCAAAAACCCATGGGAAAATGATGGAAGACCATGGGAAACTATAGAAAATGATATGGAAAACCATGGAACATTCACATAGTCTCTCTATCTCTCTAGGAAATGATCCAGAAATGGTAGATGGTCCATATTTCTGTGAACAAAAATCGTGAACATCCACATCTGTTCATGCATACAACAACCATACCAGATCATATCAGGCTGTTGAGGTAGTTCTTTTTCTTCCACTAGTTCTGGACTGATTATATATATCCCAAAACCAACGAGAGGTCTTACACCATCTCTTACATCCCTTTGGTTCTACCTATATTGTATATATATATATATTGTATATATACTGTATATTCTATATATAGAGATCATTCATATATATATACACACACATGCAGGTTCGGGGTTGGTTGGATCGCCTCATACAAGTGGATATGTCTTGATCAGCCAAGAGGGGAAGCGCTAAAACCAACATCAAATCATAGAGGCGGTGTGAGATTTGTCCAACTTCGCCCTCACAAAAAACACAGCAAGCACCTACTGACACAGTGGGAGGCAAATATCTGGGCATATCAAAGGTTCGCTGACTGGCCAGTCGCCAAAATTATCCAAAATTTGCATATACAAACGCCATTGCCTCATGAGGATTTGCCTCGACACCCCAGTAATTTGATCCAAAACTGGTTTTCCCCTACCTGCCCAGAAATAGACCAGCAAGGTATCAAAGTGTTTAGTACCTTTGAACCCCGGGGAAAGTCTGGATATGTTGAATTAATTCACCTCCAGTAGTCAAACATGGCTCGAACATGTCCCTTCAATTTGTCCCTTCTATAGTTCGATAGTCTTCCCAGCTAGAAACCTCCACGGAAATCAGGGATTTCCCATATTCGTTACCCTCTGGTAATTTAACATAACTATGGAAAATCACCATGTTTAATGGGAAAACTCACTGTAAATGGCCATTTTCAATAGCTATGTTAAATTACCAGAGGGTAAACCATCCATTTTTGTTCGGCTCTTTCCGGTATTTCCCATGGATCCCCATGGATGGGAATTCTAGGGGATTTCCCGCCGCCTGCAGCTCCTGTAGCCGTTGACTCTCCCGCAGCTTCTCCCCCTAGGCGTCCACATCGGCGATGTGGGAAAAACCATAAACCACCCATGTGGGAATAGTTTATACTATTATACCACCTATTTATGGTGAAATTTGGGGATGGTTTCTTATTGTTTTACCCACATGAATTCTTTTTATTCACAACTTTTCTGTAGACTTTCTTAGCTATTTTTATGCTTTTGATGTGTCCATTTCAAGAGAAATCAAGGCTCAACGCTATGTTTTGATGGTTCCATGATGTGTTGATCATACCAGCCCCATAGCACCGTGGACATCGAAGAAAATGTGAGCGACTTGGTGACTTGGCTCATCTGAGGGCGTTCCGAAGTTCCCAGTGGACGAAGTGACGGGTCGTGTGATCCGAAAGCCATGACAGGAAAAAACCATGTCTGGCTCGCATCATAATTCACTAACCTGTTTTTTTGTTCATGAAAATAACTGTTGCGGCATGTTGCGGCCATGTCTTTTCTATGTTTGGGGGTTACGGCCATAATTCACTAACGCTTCAAATGGGGATGATTCTGTCCATTCCAGTGACCGAGTGACCTCCGTGTCACGATCAAATTCATCTTAGCAACGAAATACATCTCATAGCTGGGAGATGTAAATACTAGATGCAGTAACATGATCCAAGAAATTCTGAATGAATATATATATATAGCAACCCCCAAACATAGAAAACTAAATTCGACCAAAAAATGTGGTAAATGAGAGTCCTATCTTTTTGGGGGTTACTATACATATGTCATATGTCGTTTGATCTTCATATGTTCTTTATGAAAGCAATACTTTAGAGCCACTGCATGCAACTTTAAGGAGCCACAGGTTTTTTTTATCCATCACAGTTTAGGACAGAATCAACAAACATGATGTGTCAAGCAAACTGTGAGTCTAGCCACTGCTCAGGAAAAAAACATGCACCAATAATTGAATAGTTTGAAAACATGACTCTAACTGTTCAACGGGTCTCAACATAATGGGAATAGCTCAAAACCCCAATGTACATCCCTTTAAAATCAACAGAACAGTCTCTATCTATTGATGATGCTTTATTTTACCCATGCTGATTCATATGGAGGTTTCCTAAGTTATAGGGCTACCCCATTTCATCATCCATTTATAGATGGATTTTCCCTAAAAAACCATCCAGCTAAACCCCCAGGACCCACCTGGCAGTTTGCGGCACTGATCACCCGGGCAGCAAGCAACGCAAAGACCTGATGGTAGCCCAACACTGCGCCCAAGGCTCATCATCGAAAGTTGCGGGGGGTGTTTTTCCGTGGGGTTGGTAAATGTCGCCAAATGTACCATAGATGATATGGGAACTATTGAGAGCAATTGATAACAGGATCGTAGAGTCATGGTTTAAATAGCCACACAGTCACCTCAAAACATCCTGAACTATGCAAGTCATGAGGAAAATCATCATCCCATTTTCGGCCAAACGAATTGTGTCACGTATTGCAAAAAAACACCACACCGAGCAGCTGCAAAATCGTCGCTGGATTCTGGAGATTCACAAGCAACATGGAGATTCTGGCACCGCAACCGCAACATTTGATGATCTGCTATTATATGGTTAATGATGGTTAATAATTACTGGTTGGTGGTGCAATAACCATCTTGAAAAATATGAGTTCGTCAGATTGGATCATCATCCCCAATCTGGTTGGGGAAAATAAAACATGTTCCAAACCACCAACCAGTCATGGACCCCCAAAAAATGTCGTGGATGAAACTGATGAAACTGATGAAACATGTGGAAACAGGATTTGTTCCAAGGTCTTAGTAGACATATGTGAGATAGAAAGTGTGGTCAATGATTACACAGACCCAAAAAATAAGGCCTTCCACCTGTACCCTTTCCAGGCTCCCCAAACGGTGCGACACGCTGTAGGTGTGGCTTGTGACACGAGTGTCGCTTGTAAGGCCTTAGTGTTGGTGTTGCTTGCGGTGTTTCAGAAAGATCTCTTGAGATGAACTGAGCGGCTAAAGCAGCCAGCACATGCAGTTGGTGTCAGGTGTTTATTGGGGCGTTATTGCTATCTTTAGTTACAGAATTTGAAGCAGTGAACAGTATCAGTTGAAACCGTTTGAATGGGACAAGAATGTGAGAGAACTTGCAACAGGCTTCAGCTTTGACTACCATGGTTGTTTCAAGCAAAACAATCAATGTGTCCAAAAGGAATCAATCGGATCATACTACCATGGTTTAGCCGATATACCAGTATCAGTCTCCAAACTGGCTAAATGGCAGAGAGGGAAAATTAACTATACGAATCATCCATTTATAGATTGTTTTTCCACATAAACCATCCATTTTAGGGTATACCCCCATTTATGGAAACCCCCATATACCACAGATGTTGATACTATAGCGAACTACAGCGATTAAAGTCTTCTGCACAAGGGGACGACATAAGCCCAACTCGCATTGCTTCAGCCGTGACCCAATCCTCCCAGTCGTTAAGGAAAACTGTTCTAGGAACATCTTCATTCAATATGTTCCAAATGTGTTCCATATATTTTCTGTACTGTTCCAAAGATGTCCCACATATATATAATATAATATATATATACACATATTCACCATTTAGTCTCCATATATTCCACATATATTCTCCATACCTCCCAAGCAGGCTATTTTGAAATGTCTCAAGCGTAACGAGGAACCCCCAGGAAGACGCTCAGTAGCGCCGTGGGCAACAGCGCCTGCTTCCAGAGACGCAGCCAGTAGTGGCTTCGCAACAGGACCTGGCGGGAAAATCGCAGGAAAATCATAGACAAATGGCATAGAATCAACAATCGGATTTATATCTGGTTGGTGGTTGAGCTTACCCCTCTGAAAAATATGAAAGTCAGTTGGGATGATTATTCCCAATATATGGAAAAATAAAAAATGTTCCAAACCACCAACCAGATATGGATTTATGGGAATTATAAATACACATTCTATTGTGAAGAATCATCATGAAATTCACAAGAAAATCCATAAATCATGATTTAATTATCGGATTTATGTCATGGCTCGCCCTCAAGATCTTTGTTGCAAGGACATGGATTTTTTAAATGAATTAAACTATGAAGTGGTTATTCGACTGGATTATTGGGAATCATTGAAATTTGCCAATGGCTATTGATAGTGGTAATTGAAAGCTTAACCCACAATCACAATCCAACGTGGCTGGCAAATTCTCGAAGTTTTCCAGCAAGCCATGCAGCTGATTACCGGAGGGTATCAACAAGGTCCAACAAGAATACCATCTGGTTAACGTTTACATGGCTATGGAAAATAACCATCTTTACTAGGGGTAGTTCCCTTGAATTATGTTGGTTCAAGAGGAAAAAACATGGAAGTTGAAGCTGAGGAATGTAGGCAGATTGAAGCAAAACATGTGGATAATGTAAGGATGAAATTTGAAGCTTGAACAACAAACAGAGTCTTGGCCCTCAACAGTTGTAAATGGAATGAACTAATAATATCTAGTTGGTTACATATATATATATATATCATTATATATCATTATGAAATAACAAGCTCATGAAAATAACTGTTACTTGAGCCAACAATCAACAGAGGAGTTGAACCAACAAACAACGCGGGTTGGTGCCACAAGAACGACATAATTCAGCTGGATCATCCAATGTTTGGTCAACTTAACAATCCCCGCTTTGGTAACACCAATATTAGTATCATCAATATATTTGTTCTGTTTTTATATGTTTTACTATTGCTGTATAATGAGGTAAACGGCAGCCCCTATTAATATGTAGACACTGATAAGCCACAAAACGTTCAGCAAAGTCACTGCATTCAATACATTCAATCATCTTTCAATATGTGTGTGTGATGATCAAAACTTTTGAAACAGCGCAGCCTGCCACTCTCAAAATAAACCATCCCCTATTGTGTGGCTGACTTCTGAATGGCTGCTGGAACTGGTTGAAACAAACTGATATCTTTTTGGGGGCTACGGCTGGAGAATCACCCCACGGAAAATATATTAGGTTACCAGGGTGCACCAGTTTCGATTCGACACCTCGTTGGCCATCGCTCGCCGTGCGGGTTGAAACCAGAAGACCGTGAAACCTACGGCGTAGTCCGTTCGGTCGTGTGAAACAGGGTGCAGGGACACGGTGAAGGTGAAAAAGGTGACATGCGACATGACCACGAAACATTGGGATTATAGTTACGTTTAGTTTGATACTTGAGGAATTTGAAGTGTCACTTGATGGGACGTTTTGATGTTGAACATACCCAACTTGACGGGATCATTTGATGTTGAAATATCTTGACCTCCTGTGACAGCACCCCGAAGGCCTAACAGCCACAAGACGTCTAGCAGGATCATGGATTGCCTCAACCGCTCAGTTGCACCAGTGCATAAGAGGTGGAAAACTCCGATTATGCCTGAAATCACCAGCTAGTTGCGAAATATGCTTGAATGCTTCCACCCTCGTTCCCATTCTTGTTGCATATCTTCCCCATTCACGCTAGGGTCGAAACATGGTATATAGATGCTGGTCATCAATGTCCATCAACGAAAATCCTCATAGTTGGTCGTACATGTATAAATAATACTGTACAAAAATCATATTAGTAAATCCCTAGCAGATCTGTACTGAAGACCATCCCCCTGTCCTCATCTGGGGCCCATCATGGCCATAATGATCCTCATAACATCAAACGCCCCCATCGTAGAGTCCCCTGTTTCACGTCGTCCAATCCCCGGTTTAACCATGGGACTCTGGGGGTGTTCAATATTAGGGGGATGAGCAGATTGTTGGTCAATCAGGGTTCTCCATCAATCAGAGGTGTGCAATGAACAAGTGACACTGCCAAGCCAAATCGCCAGCATGGTTGCTTATCTGCCTATTTCATTACAAGTTCACATAAAAAATCTTGAGATGGAACAGAAACAAATACACTTTCCACTAAATTATACCAGTCCAGTTCAGAATTTTAAGGACATACCACATATTCTGCAGCCCAACATAAATCAGAAGAATTTTACCATATATCCTTATATGGCAGTGTGTCAAAACCTTGTACCCCTGGTGAACATCAAAATAGCTGGTAAATGGATGTTCATCCCCCTAAACATGGTATTAATAGGTATTGATCCATAGCCATATATATTCTGACACATCATATTCTGACATACCACATATTCCCATCATCTTCTGAAATCTCCAGTCCATTTTTTTTGCAGTCCAAGTTCCAATGGAAATCCTGGAGCTGGGGATCAACAGCCCATCGATGCCATCGGACTACAACATCTGCTGGTGCGTTTTACGGTTCGGGAATTTTCGGGAATGATCCACTGGCTCACTAGTAATTAATCATCATCCCAGCAACCCCATTCCCAACCCATCCAGCAACCCTACGTAAAACGCACCAGTAAGTGGAAAGATTCGATTTTCCTTTTTCGGTCAGATTCGCGGCACCTTAAAGTAGCTGATGGTAGCTGCTGATTGTCTAACAGCCTACACCGCTAATCTTAGATATCCACTGACAAAAAATTAAGAGCTGTGTACTGGATACTCTGAGATTTATCCATGGCTGAACCTGTGGTGCTGGGTCAAGGCCTCTGATTACCATGTTGGTGTAAAAACCAGGGGGGCTCCAGTGTTGTTTGTTTAGTGTTGTGACCCGTACGCACATTGCAGAGCTTAGGTAAACCCAAAGAATAGGGGTATGGGAAGTAAAGGTATTGATGGAATTTGATTTATGTAAACAAATCATATAACATGGTAAACCTGACAATAAACAGGCTTGTTCCAAACACTTTAGGGTAGGTTTTGTTTTGTAAATATCGAGTCAAATGACGAATTTACTAAGACTTACCCCCCTTGTGGCTATCATTTATCTGTTGGAGCAATTCACGAGATAATCCAGTTATATCCATTTATTTATTTACCCATAGGATCCATGGTGCTGGTATATTAATGCTAACATGACTGGGGTATATTGATGGGATCCATGTTACCATACATAGCAGCACCATGGATCCGTCATGGGTTACCTCATGGCGAAACCTGAGAAATCTCCTAGATATTCCTAGATGGCTATAATTTATTTACCTCCCTGATCCATCTGTCCGGCCATGATGAGCGTGTTGACAGGAACCTGAGCTGCGCCATGAGTTTGTAGCGAAAAAAACCTCCAAGTTGGGTGAATTTCGAGGTAGTTATTTAAGTTCAAAAACATGTTAACTTCTATGTTATAGTGTTCTACGAACTGCTTACTTTGATGATAGTTACCCTTTGGTAAACGTTAACAAAAAACTATGGAAAGATCCACCATTTTTAATGGGAAAATCCACTATAAATGGCCATGTTCAATAGCTTTTTGTATGTTTACCAGGCCGGGTATGCTATGCTGGTGAAGGTGGTGAAGTTCACCGGCTTCACTCTGGGTCGAAGCCGAAAGGACGTACTTCTTGTTTTAAAGATGTACATGCGATACATTTATATAATAGAATATCCCCTAGAAACAATGGGGAATCATAGGAAAATGTGGGGAAATGGTGATTTATATATATATAATATTATATATATATACTGGTTGGTGGTTGAGCCTACCCCTCTGAAAAATGATGGAATTCGTCAGTTGGGATGATGATTTATTCCCAACTGAATGGAACGTCATTCAATCCATTCATGTTCCAGTCAGCACCAACATTTGAGTAGGATTTTCCCCTATAAACCAAACATTTTGGGATAGCCACCATGGCTATGGAAAGTCCCATGACCTGGGACCACCAACCAGGATATGAGGATACAAAAGGATGCCACGACGACGTGTCGAGGGCCGTCGTACCATCCTTTATGTTTTCAGTGGGATGATGTGGTAAGGCCTAACAGAAAAATATATCTAGTTTTGCCATGAATACTATGTTTTTTCCAAACCTAAAAAAAATGGGAAAACCTAAGTGGTTCGTGGCTCAAAAAAGGGCAACCGGAAACCCTCTGAAGAGGAGGCCAGGAGGAGTAGAGGTCCGGCTGACGCAAAATCTGACTTTGACCCTGACAGGTACAGCGAAAGCCCTTTACTAATTAGAAATAAATACGAATTGTTATAAAGGGGTTATCATTCAATAAATGGGGTAAAGGGCCATAATTGTAGGGAAGAAAACATCAAAACAACAGCAAATCCCAAATGTATATCATATGTCCATATGTTCCAACATGTTCCGACATACTTCATGGTCAAAACATTGGATTTTCCATGAAAAAAAGGGTCATCCCACCATCATTAAAATTTATCATCCAAACATCATGTGTATAGCAAAACCCTATTTGCTTCTATGAGGAGAGATGATCATCAGCAATAAACAACATCCATTCAGCGGTGGATACATTTCTTGTATGGTGTCTCTAATGTATTGTACATCATATTGTAGTAAAACATCACATAACTGTTAATTTTTACATGTTATCATCATTGAGTTACTAACAGTTTGTATAATATTATAGGCCCATATAGGCCCATCAAAAACCGTTTTAACTCTGTTTTGATAGGTGGGAAAGAACGTTTTTTTCGTCATTTCCCCAAACAGGCCACCCACCAAGCGACAAAACCATGACGATGGCCGGGAGAACGCGAGCCACCAACATGTCCTGAAAGTTGTGTTTTGTGTTTTCTGATAATTTATATGATGAGTTTACATAATGGGCATATAATGGGTATATAATGGGTATATAATGGGTATATAATGAATATATAATGGGTATATAATGGGTATACAATGGCTATATAATGAATATATAATGGTATATAATGGGTATATAATGGGTATTAATGGGTATATAATGGGTATATAATGAGTGATTATAATGGGTTATTATAATGGGTTAATATAATGGGTTAATATAATGGGTATATAATGGGTTGATAGAATTGCCATGTAATGGCTATATATATATATATGATTGGTATATATTGGGTTCATATTTCATGGGTATATAGTGATAATATAATGGGTTACTACAATGGGTTAATATTTCACAGGTCAATATAATGGGTTAATATTTCAACTGTATATCACAAACGGAATGGGAATCCACATAATAGGTATAATTTCCTATGAATGGATTGATGACCATCCCCAAATATGGAAATAATATCTCCATCTTTTGACCACGGCACATGTGGCAAAACCACTAAGAAAACCTAAGAAATATCCAATGTTAGACGCTTTACAAGATCTTATAAAAATTGATTATCTAATATAATATGTTTACAACATATAATAGATACTCAATATATATATATAATTCTGGTATATTATTAATCTGGATAAAAAGAATATCTGGTATCATGATCATACTATTTAAATACTTACTCAGAGTATCATTAAACAATGCAACATACTATTAAATATGATTTGATGATTAAATTATACCATTGATGTTTTATATTTACCATCTGGTTATGACTAACATAGCCATGGTATAGATGGCCCATAGAAATAGATGGTTTACCATGGTTTACCTATTAAAAATGATGGATTTTTCCATGGCAAACTGTTAGTCACAACCAGAGGGTAAATTCTCCCAAATGAAGAGATCCGGCCGAGGTTTTCCGCCACGTTTGCTTTTAAGAAGCGGCGAGATGTTTCCAGGGATTGTGATGGATTGCGTCATATTAATGTTAATAGCTAGTCATATGGGAAAATATGAGAAAACTATAGTTAATCATAGTTAACCTATAACTAATGAAACCTGCATCTTTGAAGACTTTAAATCACCTATATACAGTATATATATATATATATAAATGGTAAGCTATAGGCTTTTAACGCGACGTTTTTCTGTCGTTTCAGCGGCCATGACCAAGCCCAAGCCCCTCCAACAACATGGTAGTAAAGCCACAGCCACGAACAAAATATATGGGGGGTCCTTAAAATAAAGGGTCCCCGAAACCACGGGTTTCAATTCGAAAATATTTTAAAATGGTCTAATTATGGAGGATATGGGGGTACCTCCATTTTAGGAAACCTCCATATGTCCTATTGTTTTTTGGAAACAACCAAAAAAAAAAATATCCTGAGACCAACTGAGACCCAGTTTCGATACGTGATGCATCCAACTTGCCGATGTCGCAGGGCGTTTCCTGCGACGGAACTTTTTGGCACGTTGCAAGAATCCCAGAGGTCTATGCATGGATGTTGGTTGATCTGCATTTTTTGGAATTTCAGGGTGTTCATGAATTTCTAGTGTATGATATGTTCGATCAAAAATTGTCATCGATTTACCATGATTGATATGAGTTTCATCCGTTCCCTGCGTTGTCCCTTTATACTGGCTCTTGGATAGGATTTCCCAGCCCAGAGATTGAAAAAAATCCCCGATGAGTATTGGGCACAACACCATAGTTCATCAAGCAACATGGGTTGTTAGGTATCCATGGAAAACCCATCTATTTCTATGGGCCATCTATACCATGGCTATGGGTAAGTCCCTGGTTCATGGCTTTGGTTTTCATGTTTACCTATTAAAAAGTGCACAACACCATATTTCATCACAGCACCCATATTTGTTTTTTTTACGTATCCCCAACAAAAAAGTGGTTAGTATCATCCCCCAACTAGTCCATCAACTAATTTTGGGGTGGCCATCAACTGTTCGGTGGATCGCAGCCACTGTTCGGTCTCCCAATCAAGTGACCATCATATGGAGGTTTCCTAAGTCATGGGGGTACCCCAAAATCATCCATTTAGTAGGATTTTCCCTTATAATTCCCTTATAAACCATCCATTTTGGGAACCCCCATTTTCAGGAAACCATCATATGGTGATGATGATTATGGTAAGAACAGTCCGTGAGATAATAAGGGTCAGGACGGTCAGGACAGCAATTGCAACCGTGAAGTGAATATGACAATACAATGATTTGTTTTAAGGTTTACACTAAGATCGTTTCAATAAATAGAGTGAGGGCAATAGTAGTAGTGACCACTATTATGATAATAACGGTAACACAACTATCACGACTATTGCATTGGTCATAGTGGTTAGACATAATGAAGGTGATGCTGATGGTAATGATTAGGATGGCGATAATCATGCATGGTAGAAAAAAAACGTTGTGTAATGTTCATCTAAGTACAACAGTAGCAATCATATGGAAATAATCGGTCATAATGAAACATAGATCATCGCAAAAACAATCATCTATTATGATAATGACTCTAATGACAATCACCATCATCATGGTATTGTCTTCAACCCAACTAGTGAACTTTTGCAATTATTCTAACATAACACAGCCGTAAGCAACATTGAGCAACTATGAACAGTGAAATACAGCTTTTATCGATTACCATTTCTAATGGTTTGACAGGACTGATTAATCACCTGACAATGTCAATCAATTTCATCAAACAATCACCACAAACAATCCATCAATTTTCATCAATTTCATTATATAATTTCCTGTAAATAACTGCGCTAGTTGTCATGAATTTCATTTATATACGGTAACACGGTAATCGAACATGCCAATTGGAAATCCCCTATCCAAGGAGCCTTCTGGCAGGGAAATCATCGAACTATATAAATGGCGGATTTTCCAGCAAACCATGTTTGACACCAAAAGATATTGAATAACCATACTTCATCCATTTATAGATTGGATAACCCATGAACCAGGGACTTACTAACCCGAATTATTCACCGCTTACTAAGTGAGATGAGATATATGATACTACCATCCTCTAAACTAACGCAGATGTAGAAAACCAACCATTTGTAGATCCTTTTCCTAGGGAAACAGTTGCTTTTTCACATCTATCCATCGATGAAAAAATCCACTTCGCCGGGCACCGGTCCTCGGGTCCTAGGACCATGAAACCCAGTTGCAGCAAACAGAAATAAAGACCTGACGAGAACCCCGAAGGAGTTTGGTCTTCTAATTTTGTGGGGATACTACACTATGGATATCGTGTGTGTGTTTCTAATAGTGTGATTTGATGAGACTTGATGGGGATTGTAGTGGGGATGTCATTGGATATAGTGGGATATAACATGAGATAACAAACTACAGAAGTAAACAACATAATGGAACTTGTGGATTTTGATGGGATTATCACGGGGTAATCATGTTTGCTCCCTGTACGAGGATTAAGTGCTACAAGTGATACAATGGGGAGAAGAAGTTGGGGATGAAAGGAATGAATAACCAACAATATATGAATATAGGATACAGTATCATGGGGATTCGCGACGGACCTGATTCGAATTGGCACCCATATACGCACTTGGGTATCATTGCACCGCCAGGGAACCACAAATTGGAGACTGTCCCATGTTGTCTGGCACATGTTCTAGCTACATGACATTCCATGGTTTGTTGATCTCCAAATCCCATGGGACCTGAAGCGGAGATAAGCGAACATGCGACAAACATCCGTGTTTGGACAAAGCGCGGCGGGGCTACCCCATTATCAACGTCATGTCGTTGAGGAATGTTGAGAACATGAACAGGATTGAACATATTGTTCGACATATGAGAACAATAACTCAAATTGAGAACACTATCAACATATTGTCCCCATTAAAAAGATGTCAAAATTTGGGGGTACCCTCCGGTGTCATCAAACAGGGATTGCTGGAAATTCCACGATGATGTTCCCAGCTAGAAATGCTCCATTTCTCCTAATATGGAGGTTTCCTAAAAAGCGGGTACCCCTAAATCAGCCATGTTACTAGGATTACCCATTATAAACCAACCACTTTTGGGGTACAGTGAAACCACTGTTTAATAACCTACTGCAATAAGAACTTCAGGGGCTGGATTGCTGGATTCAAGCCTTTCTGTCTGCTAATTGAAAATGAAATAAGAACCCTAGGGTGCCCTGGATTCTAGCCACTGGTTGTTATTCCCCTTTAACGGGTATAAATATACCAAACATTGGTTATTGATATATGAAAGCAAGAAGCAAGCACGCATGAAGCAAGCAAACCGCCAGCACCACAGGGATTCGAACCCCAATGCGGCAACTGATGCTGCACGCAACCGCCTAAGCCCGACACTAGCCGGACTTACTAGAGGCCATCTGACTTCAAATGCTGCCCTTGGCGTGTGTTTGGTTTGTCATGGCTTGTCTTGCCTGTGCTGCCTTGTTTCGGGCCTGTAAATCGGAAAAAACGGTTAGGAGCCTAAAAAGTTTGTTTCTTCCCCACGCCCCCTTTGCAACCTAATACCACGCCAAAATAAACTTTCAAACCCTGGCATGGTGGAATATCTGGCCTATAGCTCTGTTTGGAATGCCTGCACCTGAAAAAACTTTTTGGTACCGATTTTTTTGTTCTTCCTCCCGCCTCCTTTGCAACCTAATACCACGCCAAAATGAATTGGCAAAACCCTCACCATATGAACCCCTTAAGAACTAACCCGTTAAGAACTTGAGGGTACCCTCGTTCATAATTCCCATATTTTCCACCTATAGCACTTGAGAACCCCAGGGTAGGCTGGAAAAGTATCAATCGGTCTCATCTAACGGTTCCGCTGTACCTCTATGGAAACATCCATATGCTCCTATGTTTTTTTCCATTGTTTCTAGCGGAATTTGCCAGCTATGA